GTGTAAGTTTGCCAAAAAAATGTCGGACTCCGTAATTTTCTCTGGTCCCCTCCCTGATCTGACCAGTGATGACATGTTTAGCCGCATGTCGTCATTCAACCGCTGGTTGTCTAGGTGGTGCCCTGAAAACAACGTGGGCTACATTAATAATCGGCAATCCATTTGGGGAAAGCCTGGTCTGATTCGGAGAGACGGCATCCATCCCACTTTGGATGGTGCAGCTCTTCTATCTAGGAATCTGGCCACATTTATTAGTCCTCCAAAACCCTGACCACCCAGGGTGCAGACCAGGAAGCAGAGTTGTAGTTTAACACACATCTCTGCAGCTTCTCTACTGTTACCCACTCTTTACTCCATCCAGACAGTGTCTTGCCCACGACCAAAATCTAATAAATTAGCAAAGATTCCCAAAGGAGTAAATCATGATAATCTAATTAAAATCAAAATAACTCCAATTGGGGAAAAAGTTAAAACAATTAAATGCGGTCTGTTTAACATAAGATCGCTTTCCTCTAAAAGTCTGCTAGTTAATGACTGGATTTGTGATAATCACATTGACTTGTTTTGCCTTACAGAAACCTGGCTGCAGCAAGAGGATTATGTGAGCATAAATGAGGCAACTCCTTCAAGCTATTTAAATTTTCACATCCCCAGAAGTTCTGGGCGAGGAGGAGGAGTAGCAACAATCTTCGAGTCTGACTTACTGATTACTCCCAAAACAGTTAATTCCTACAACTCTTTTGAACATTTAACCCTTAATTTCCCTGATCCAAATTTCAAGGCAAGAAAACCTCTTCTTTTTGTAACTTTGTATCGTCCACCAGGTCCTTACTCTGAATTTTTAGATGAGTTTTCAGAGTTCCTTTCTGATTTGGTATTAAATACTGACAGGGTCATCATAGTGGGAGATTTTAACATCCATGCTGACATTGAAGGCGATAGCTTAAGAGCAGCCTTTAATGCTATCTTAGACACTATTGGCTTTGTTCAAAATGTGAATAGTCCCACACATTCTCATCTTCATACTTTGGATCTTGTGCTGACATACGGTATAGAATGTGAAGAAATAACAGTATTTCCTCACAACCCTGTCCTCTCTGACCACTTTCTAATAACCTTCAGGATTACTTTAACAGAGTTCTCCTCCCCCAAAAGAAGGTTCAATTTTAGTAGATCTTTATCAGATAGTGCAGTTATAAATTTTAAAGAATCTGCTTCACTTTCTCTCTCCTCTGTATCGCTGAGCAGTGCTGCAGAGTGCAAAAGCTTAGCTTATTCCCCTTCACAGGTTGATGATTTTGTTGATGGGGTTGCTAGTTCTCTGCGTATTGCCTTAGACAACGCAGCTCCTTTGAAAATGAAAACCGTTAAAAATAGAAAGCTTGCTCCTTGGTTTAATGCAGAGCTGCATACTTTGAAGCAAAATGCTAGGAAACTGGAGAGAAAATATCGCTCCACAGGCCTGCGGGAGTCCTTCCTAGTCTGGAAAAATGGTTTACTGCTGTATAAGAGGACCCTTTGTAAAGCAAGAGCAGCATACTTCTCCTCATTAATAGAGGAGAATAAGAATAATCCTAGATTTCTTTTTAATACAGTTGCCAAACTCACCCAGAGCCATAGCTCTGTTGAACCGTCCATTCCACCTGCTCTTAGCAGCAATGATTTTATGGGATTCTTTATAAATAAGATTGATCTTATTAAAAATAAGATCATAAGCACTCCTCTATCCGCGATTGTACCTGAGGTAGTCATGGAATCTGAACCGGGTTTAGACTGCTTTGATCCAGTTGAACTTTCTGAATTAGCAAAATTATTGTCTTCATCTAAGCCTTCAACTTGTATGTTAGATCCAGTTCCAACCAGGTTATTTAAGGAGGTATTCCCTTTGATCTCCTCCTCCATTTTAGATGTGATTAATCTATCTCTGTTACAGGGATATGTACCTAAAGCTTTTAAGGTTGCTGTAATTAAACCTCTGCTTAAGAAACCGTCTCTTGACCCAGATGACTTGGTCAATTATAGACCTATATCCAATCTTCCTTTCTGATCTAAAATTCTTGAGAAAGTAGTTGCCAAACAAGTTTGCGATCACTTACACCATAATGAACTTTTTGAAGAGTTTCAGTCTGGCTTTAGAGCTCATCATAGCACTGAAACAGCTCTGGTGAAAGTCACTAATGATATTCTCATGGCCTCAGATAATGGACTTGTATCTGTGCTCGTCCTGTTGGATCTTAGTGCTGCATTTGATACAGTTGATCAGAATATTCTTTTAGAAAGACTTGAATATTTTGTTGGAATTAAAGGAACAGCACTAGACTGGTTTAAATCTTATCTATCTGATCGAATTCAGTTTGTTCATGTTAATGATAGATCTTCAACACGCTCAAAGGTTACCTGTGGAGTACCACAGGGATCAGTGCTAGGACCAATTCTCTTTACTTTATACATGCTCCCAATTGGTAGAATTATTAGACAGCATGGGATTAATTTCCACTGTTATGCTGATGATACCCAGCTATATCTGTCTATAAATCCAGATGAAGCTAACCCATTACATAGATTACAGGCATGTCTTGAAGACATAAAAACCTGGATGACTCTTAACTTTCTGCTTCTGAATGCAGACAAAAAAGAAGTTATAGTCTTTGGACCAGAGTCTCTGAAAAAGAAACTGATTAGCCAGTCACTTCATTTGGATGGGATTAAACTGATTTCAGATAATAAAGTAAAAAATCTTGGTGTTGTTTTTGATCAGGACCTGTCATTTAAATCCCAGATCAAAGAGGTTTCTAGAATTTCCTTCTTTCATCTGAGGAATATTGCTAAAATGAGCAATCTCCTGTCCAGGGGTGATGCTGAGAAACTAGTCCATGCATTTGTTACTTCAAGGCTGGACTATTGTAATTCTTTACTATCAGGAAGTCCACAAACTGTAGTTAAAAGCCTTCAGCTGATCCAAAATGCTGCAGCCAGAGTTCTAATGAAAATTAAAAAGAGAGATCATATCTCTCCTATCCTGGCTTCTCTTCATTGGCTTCCTGTTAAATCAAGAATAGAATTTAAAATCCTCCTTCTCACATATAAAGCCTTAAATGGCCAAGCTCCATCTTATATCAGAGATCTGATTGTTCCTTATGTTCCTAACAGAGCACTTCGCTCTCAATCTGCAGGTTTACTAGTGGTTCCTAGAATTTCTAAAAGTAGAATGGGAGGCAGATCTTTTAGTTCTCAGGCTCCTCTCCTGTGGAACCAACTACCAGTTTTAGTCCGTGAGGCAGACACCCTGTCTACTTTTAAGGCTAGGCTTAAAACTTTCCTTTTTGATAAAGCTTCTAGTTAGAGTGGCTCAGGTTATCCTGATCTATCTCTATAGTTCTGCTGCTATAGGCTTAGACTGCTGGAGGACATAGGGACCCCTTTTTCATCATTCTGCTTCATTCTATCTCTATTCTCCCACTCTGCAGAATCTGTTAGTTCAATCTCTAACGTTCTGCTCTCTCTGCTTTTCCTCATAGTAGCTTCATCTGGTCTGTTCCTGTTTGGCTGTGACTCCATCCTGGAGAGAAATATCAGCTGTGCTGCTGCCATCAACACCTTTGTTTCTAGATGTTGGAGCTTGGCCTGTTTTCCAGTGTAGTCCTGTTTCTCTGACTGTGACTAACTGGATGTGCTCTCTTCATCCTCTGACATGGGAGCTGGCTCGGAGCTCGTCTGCCTGGCTGTGTGTTTCCTGGACGGGGCCGCCTGTGGAGCTGGTTAACAGTTGCCTTTTGTATCTATGCTTCTTTTTCTATGTCTGCTTCTGTCTCCTTGAACCCCAGTGGGCCTCAGCAGATGGCCGCTCACACTGAGCCTGGTTCTGCTGGAGGTTTCTTCCTGTTAAAAGGGAGTTTTTCCTCTCCACTGTCGCTACAAGCATGCTTAGTGTGAGGGATTGCTGAAGAGTCAATGAGTCGATGCAATCAGCTGGTTTTCCTTAGATAGAAAACTTTGTATCAATTTGACTGTATGATCTGGTGAACTGGAAAGTGCCTTGAGATGACATGTTGTGAATTTGGCGCTATAGAAATAAACTGAATTGAATTGAATTAAAGTCTATGCTCATAGATCACAACCATAAAACAGCAAAACAACTTATAACTGTACTCACAATAACAAACTATCTGCAGATCTAAACTAAAGGTCACCAGTCAGTTCTAGAAGCATCTTTAGATGAACCTTTGTTGATCCTGGAGAACCACTGAACCAGATTAGCTCCTTATGAGGAGATTTCAGTCATTCTGGTTGATTTAATCTGAGTCTGTTTCCTCCTGCAGCTGCAGCCAATGATCTGACTGTTGATTAGTTTGGTTTATCTTACATTTTTGCTGCTCATCTTTAATAAAACAAACTCATCAAAGAGCTTTTTTTTAACCTGGGAACAAAGCAAACATTTATCCCACTGATCAGCCCAGTTCAGATCAACCGATTAACCCCCCCCCCATCACACCGGGCAGCTGAGACCACTGCTGATAACCAACTTCCTGGTCTGCTCCTCATCTATACGCTAACAGCTGCTAACCAGCTAGCTAACAGCTGTTTCTGTGCGCAGCATGCTAACGCTCTTTCTACTGTAATAACAATCTACATGCATCATTTCCCCCTTATTCATATAACAGTAAAATCAGAGACCTTTCCGGGGACAGGTTGGTGTGACTCTGATCACCATTCATTCGCCGCTGCATCTGCTGCTGCTTCTTTATCAGGGACTGTCTCTCGCCTGCAGAATGCTCTAGAACAGCTAGAGAACTAATGAGCAGCGATGGTGGAGAAGTTTGGGCAATATCTGAAGCAGCCCCCACTGCAGGTTTCTTTGGGTTCTAGATCTCTAAGGACCTGGTATGGGTGATTGTGGCTAAACATGGCTGATAACATCTCTGTCAGGGCTCCAGGAGACGCCGGTCTGCAGAGCCAGACTAAATGTGGTCTAAGCAGCCTTTGCTTCTGTGTTTTCATAGGTGTTCCTGCCGGGGGCTCCGCTGGTCCTCAGCGCCGCTCAGACCTCAGCTCTTCCTCTGGTAAGATCTACGCAGCTAAACCTTCTTTACAAAGTGTGTTTGTGACCCAGAGCGGCCGCCCTCACTCAGTCCAGGAGGTTAACCACCAGACCGGCGCAGCGATGCTCAGAATATCTTTGTTTCCAGGTAGAAGGAGGAAAGTCTCCCAGATGAAGTGATGGTCTGTTGGGTCGGTCAGCCTCCCCGATCATTTCTAACCAGGACACCATTAGATTCATGAAAACACAGATAGAACCACAGCTACACAGAATGAAAAGGGTTCAGGCGTATTTCATCATTCAGAGAGCTGCCTGAATGGTGCGTTTCAGTGCAGGTGGAAAGCTGGGTCATCTCAGTTGTGCTTTAGCATTTTTTCTACTGAACTTATTTCACTCTCTACTTGATACGACTTTCTGTTGAAACCTCAGATAGAAAACATACAAGATCTACTTTTTATTATTCTCCAGTCGAAGACACACCTGTCCAAAGTGCCATGCTCCGTGTGACGTTCAGGTAGACTTCCTGATGTAGCAGAACGGGCTCGGCTCATCCTCGGACATGGAGGCTGCAGCACGTAGAGGAGGAGATCTCACATCTGGAGGATGTTTCTGTTTCATTTCCAGCATCCAGAGCTGATTGGGAAAGATTCATTTTGATGAATCAGTTCTAAACAGCATCCAGAAATCCTCTATAAGGGAAATATCTGGAGAAACGTTGGAGATGGAAGGACAGGCATGAAAAATAGAAACATTTCACTCAGATCTGTTTCTGTTTTACTGACATGTTTTATCTGTGGATAAAACATGTCAGTAGAAACGGTTAAAAAAAAACTGTAATTGAATATTTTACAGACCAAGAAATACAGGAATTCATTCTGTATTTCAGCTTCAGCAAATTCCATCGAGCAGAATGTGAAAGTTTTAATGTGAACCAGAAGTTCTGTCTGAAAGGAGGAAGGAGCAGGAGCCTCACATTCACAATCAGCCAGATCACTAATATTCACAACAAACCAGGTGATGACATTGGTAAATATTGGAAGGTGAGGACTTTGGTGAACCTGCTGGGGACATTTGTGACCGTCAGTGAGGACATCTGTGAACGTCGGTAAAGATGTCAGGGAAGATTGTGAATGTTGGTGAACATCTGTGAAGACATTGGTGAGGATGCTTGTGAACATCTGTGCAGACATTGGAGAGGATGCTTGTGAACATCAGTGCAGACATTGGTGAATATTGGTGATCGTCAGTGAAGACATAGGTGACAACGTTGGTGAACTTTGGTGAAGATGTTAGTGAATATTGGTGAACATCATTGTATACATTGGTGAAGATGCCAGTTAAGAGGGTGAGGACATTGGTTAATGTCAATGAAGGTGTTCGTGAGGACATTGGTGAATATTGGTGCAAACATTGGTGAATAATGGTGAAGATGATGAGGATGTTTATGAGGACATTGGTAAACGTTGATGAACATTGGTGATGACGTTGGTGAACGTCGGTGAGGACGTTGGCAAAGATGTCGGTGAAGACTGTGAGGATGTTGGTGAACATCAGTAAAGACATTGGTGATTGTTGGTGAGGACGTTAGTGAACATCGGTGACAACGTTGGTGAATGTCAGTGAAGACATTGGTGATGACATTGGCAAACTTTGGTGCAACCGTTGGTGAATATTGGTGAGCATATCTGCTGACGACATTGGTGAACCCGGTGAAGACATTGGTGATGATGTTGGTGAACCTGGTGAGGACGTTGGATAACATCAGTAAGGACGTCAGTGAAGATGTTGGTGAACGTCAGTAAAGACGTCAGTGAAGATGTTGGTGAACATCAGTAAAGACGTCAGTGAAGATGTTGGTGAACATCAGTAAAGACATCGGGGAAGAATGTGAATGTTGGTGAATGTCTGTGACGACATTGGTGATGACATTGGCAAACTTTGGTGCAACCGTTGGTGAATATTGGTGAGCATATCTGCTGACGACATTGGTGAACCCGGTGAAGACATTGGTGATGATGTTGGTGAACCTGGTGAGGACGTTGGATAACATCAGTAAGGACGTCAGTGAAGATGTTGGTGAACATCAGTAAAGACGTCAGTGAAGATGTTGGTGAACATCAGTAAAGACGTCGGGGAAGAATGTGAATGTTGGTGAATGTCTGTGACGACATTGCTGAGGATGCTTGTGAACACTGGTGCAGACGTTGGTGAATATTGGTGAACATCAGTGTATACGTTGGTGAAGATGTCAGTTAAGAGGGTGAGGACATTGGTTAACGTCTGTGAAGAAGTTGGTGAGGACATTGGTGAACATTGGTACAAATGTTGGTGAATGTTGGTGAATATTGGTGAACATATCTGCTAACGACATGGGTGAACCCGGTGAAGACTGTTGGATAGTGTCAGTGAGGACGTTGGTGAAGATGTTGGTCTATGTTGGTGAACATCAGAGAATACATCTGGGAAGAATGTCAATGTTGGTGAATGTCTGTGAAGACATTGGTGAGGATGCTTGTGAACACCGGTGCAGATGTTGGTGAATATTGGTAAACATTAGTTAAGACATAGGTAACAATGTTGGTGAACCTGATAAAGACGTTGGTGAAGATGTCAGTGAAGACGGTGAGGACATTGGTGAACATTGGTGAAGACGTTGGTGAATAATGGTGAAGATGTTTAATCCTTTTGAGACTTAAAGCCTTGTCTGATCTGGACCTTTTGTCCCTAAAAGTGATTGTACTATATTTCAGAACCGGACCTCCATCACAGTGTTCTGGTTCTGTGAACAGAACCGGCAGGTGGGTTCAGAGTTCCTCTGGTTGGTGAAGCTGTGACTCCTGTCAGGTTTCTGGAACATGATCAAAGACGGGCTGGTTCTGTGGTTCTACTGGGCTGCTCTGATCCAGGTTCTGTGCATTAGATGGTCGACCCGGATTCCATCAGGACTCGTCCTCTGCCAGCGGCTAACAGCCTCACTGGTGCAGAACCAGAGAACCGGACTGAGACGAAGCCCAGATCCAACCCAGAACCTTTTTGGTTCCATGTTCCTTGCTCCACCCAGACTTTGGACCCTTCTCCTCCACATCATGCAGGATCTCCACCGCAGGCAGCTGAAAGCTGGTCGTTGCCTAACTTCCTGTTTCCAGCGTTGGTCAGGAGGTGAAGCCTGACGGCAGACCTGAGGACCTGAGAGACGCCGTGGCTGAGGATTCCTCAGGTTCCGTCCCACTCTGGACTCTGAGGGACACCAAGAGGAGGGACGTGGTGTTCTGATTGGGTTGAACTGCTGAGCTGGCAGAACGTTCTGTTCTCGTTGTGCCCGTCATACAGGATGTGGGGACTGCTGAGGAGAGGAAGTGATGCGCTGCAGAGAAGGAAGTGCTGCTCTGCGGTTGTCAGAACAAACCAGCTGTGGATCTGCCGCTCAGCTCCAAAGCGTCAGCCGGTTCTGATCGGACTCGCCCTAAAAACCCGCAGACCTCCTGCATGGTGGCGTCTCAGAGCAGAAGCACCCAGAGACGGCTCCTCCTAGCTGACCCTCAGTAACAGGTGGGGGCAGGGCAGCCTTCTTCACATTAGTGAAGCTGGATGGACGTTAGTCCTGGACCTCATGGCCATCTTTGGAGAGCAGCGAGGATCCAGACTGGAGGGGTCTGATGGGAAACGGCTCCTAGTTTCACTGGAAGTCCACCATGCAGAGGGTCCACAAAGAACCCAAAACCTTCTTTATCCAAAGAGAAGCCTTGCTAAAGGTCCACGGCAGGAGCGGCCGCGCACTGACCGTCTTTACATCCAGAACCGCGTTTTCTGCTCGGACTGACAGCTGCCACCTCTGCTGCTCGGCTCCAGATGGAGACAGAAACCACTCGTCCATCAGGAGGCCGAGGTTTCAGACAACACAGAAAAAACTCACTAGATCCGTCTCTTCATCATCTATAGAAATATAGAACAGAACTTGCTCTGGATCATCCAGATGGTGGTGGGCGAGCTGAAGGCGGGCCTGGATGGCATAATCAGGGGGAACCTGAGCTGTATTAGCCACAGTAACCATGGAAACAGTGACAGCAGCTCTCCTCGGTCCTCCTGTCCAGTTCTGGGCTGATTCCTCTGCATTCCTCGGATCATAGAGACGCCATCAGGTGGGAGCCTCCATGGAGATGGAGCCTCCATTTTCTAATAATCGCTCCTGCAGTTTATGTTTCATTTTAAAGCTGTTAATCCATAGTCCTTTCCAGCCTTTTGGACGTCTCCATTTTATCTCTGGTGTCTTTGGACATCTGTTTGGTGCTCAGGAGAGAAGTGCAGCAGAAGGCGCTACGTTTTAAAGAGCTTCTGGGATGCAGAGAGATGCAAAGATATCACAGAAAACAGATCTTAGTTCAGACAGAGATAACCTGAACCAGGGGGACCACATGTCCCTGATCTTGGACCACCTGTCCCCGGCTAAAGCTGTCCCCGGAAATGTCCCGTGATTGGATTTCAGAAATCTCCGTCACCTTAGCCTGAACAGCACTTTTTCTTTAGCTAAAGTTTAGTTGGGGTTGTTGTGGGCAATGAGCCGGTGCTCAGCGTACCGCGTCAGGCCAGCATACCCACAGAGATACGCATGCGCAAAGATACGACGCATGGAAGAGCTGTCAGATCGCCATACGCTTCAAAAAACATCAAAAAGTGGTAAATAAATAGTTTGTTTTGTAGCTGAGTAAAGGGTAGCTAACTCTAACCATCTACTAAACCGTATAAAACACGCCCAGCCAGTCGCTGATGACCTCGATTTGGACATGAAGCCATCTTGGATGCAGCGGCGGAGCAGAAGGGAGATTAATTAAGGTGAATGAAATGAGATGCCTACTAATAGCTTGGCCCATGAAAAACTGATAATAATCTCGTTCAATGTTGGGATTAGAGTTTAATCCATGATCAAACTGCTGGACAATTTTGTTACATATTTTATTTTCTTATGTGAATTTCAGTGACTGAACATTCTTTAAATATAAAGATAAGTTCATTAATTAAAGTTTGTTTGTATAAAATTGTTAAAATGTGGATCATTCTTTAATAAGATCCTGTTAAACAGTTTTTTTAAGCTAATGTGTGCAGCTGACCTAATGAGGGACGTTTGTTTGTTTTATGCAATAAACTGAACCAGGAAATAAAGCCGCCTGATTGGCTGGAAGGAGAGCAGAGACAGAGGACGCTCTCTGTGATGCGTATTACTGAGGGTATGCTGGCCTGATGGGGTATGCTGAGCTGACAGAACACCGCTAACTTCCTGTTAGCCTGAGCTCCAGCCTGTCTGAGCTGGATGGCTCTGTCTAGTTCCTGTTTTCTATGGAGCAGAAGGATGAAATGATCCAGCTAGCATTGGGACTGAGGCGTCTCCATAGATGGAGGATGGTTGAACCTTTTAAAGCATCAGGGACTGAAGTCACTGTTAGTTCAGGATCAGGTTCAGTTCGGCCCCCAGAGGAGCCGCTGATGAAGATCCTCCTAAAAGGAGCTGCAGATTAGGTTTCTCCTCGGTGTCTGGGTGGTAGATGTTCCCTCTGTCCTTCTCAGGGAAGCCCAGCCTGCCTTACTGGCTGCTGATCAGTCAGACCGTCTGGCTGTTTCCCTCCTGGGAAGCAGCAGCCTCTGTTCTTCCCTCCCAGCTGCTGCCTGGATGCTGGAGGCTCTCTGGGGTAAAACCAGCCTGTTTCCCATCAAACTTTCTCACACAGCTGGAACCAGAACGACTTTTCTGTTTCTTACTTACTGTAAATATTTAAATCATTTGGTGTCAGAATGAAACATAGCAGTGAGTTTCTAACCTGATTATTCCTCATGGTTCTTAACATAAGAAGACATTTAATAGAAACTGAGCAGCTAAATGAGATGATCTGCAGAAGGAATGATTGTTTCTGTCCTGAAGATAATTAGATATTCAGCTCCTGGATTAAGATAACGGAGCTTTCTTTCTTATTTTCAACATAAATCATATTATTCCATTAACAGATTGTCTTCCTCATCTGCTCCAATCGAGGGAACGTCACTCATTTCTACTAAAAATGATGTATTTATGTTTAGCCTTTGCAGTGTTGTTCAACTTTAAGATGTTTATCTCAGTAGAGCTAATAAATGTGTTATTTAGTCAGAATATTCAGACTGTCATATATTGTTTATGAACACACGCCCCCTACTGGCTGTGTGGTAAAACAGCAAACATAAAAAATAATAAACATAAATCCTTTTATTGTCGATCATTCAGCATTGAAATCACAGTGAAACAGATGATTCTGCACAGATATGAAAAAAATTCACCACAACTTCCTTTAAAATATACGTTTATTAACAAAAATATATTGCTTAAAGTTAAACATATTTCAGTTATAAAGTTTTGACTAAAACTAGTGAATCTCAACTAAACGTTAACCTCTTACACCCTAAGGGGGTATAAATAAATGTCTGCCTGACAAAAACACACAAAAGTAAATAACTTATAGCCTCAAAGCTATTAGATTTAAGAAGAAACTTTTGGTACGTCTGTAAAGGTAAGATGTCATAGAATGGTTTTCTGGTGTCAGCACCATTGTAGCTTTGACCCTGCCTGAAATATTAGGGACAAAATACAAAATATTTTGCATTTTTTGAACCTCGCCAAAATTTTCTTTGAAATAAACATTGCAAAACACTAGCAAAATATTATTTATAGCACAAAAAAGTAGTACAGACTTTCAAATCTAAATGTTGTGTAAAAATATACCAAGTTTGGACTCAATCAGATGAATCATATTTATTTTAGAATGGTATTAGTGAGAAATTTCTTAGGCGGAGAGGCTATTTTGGCACATTTATCCAAAAATGTCACCAAACTGTGCCAAATGTGTTTTTTACATCAATACTGGGGGTTTGGTAAAATTACGAGGTCACGTAGCAGCTGGACCCGCCGGTGGGTCCGTAGGGTTCATTAAACTACTATGAACAAAGAAGAAGGAAGAAGAACGTGACTGAAAACCATCATAAATGAGATGTTTATGTTTGAGAACCAAAGTTCATCTGGAAGAATTAGAGATGAAATTAGCTCTGAACTCATTTAGAGCGATTGAAATGTTTTAAAATCAGGAGGAAGAGGAGGAGGATTTGCTTCATCAGAAACCAATGAGCTTTAGCTCAGCTAGCATTAGCAGACATGAGGATTATTATTAATTAATTATTTGGTCATAGTTTGGTCATATAATAAATAATCTGTGGTGAGCTCATGAGAAAACACATGGATGTTAATCCCATATTTGTGTTTAAACTCTTAATGAAATAAAAAATTTTAGCTTTATAAACAACGTCGCAGACACGCTGCGGTCCATCATGTTAGCTTTGTCTTTACTCAACAATAAACACATTAAATGATCAAGAATCATCAAATAATTAAATTATTTAGCTAAAAACTCTCCCTGACTTCTGCAGCACTCCATCATCCATCCATCATCCATCCATCCATCCATCCATCCATCCATCCATCCATCCATCCATCCATCCATCCATCATCCATCCATCCATCCATCCATCCATCATGTAGCAGCTTAGCATGGCAGGCTAACAGGAAGGGAGGGGATTGTAGTTCATAGGCCAGAGGTCAGGGGTCAGGGATTAGCATTCACAACCTGATTCTAAACCTGATTTCTAAATTACTGCATGTTGTCCAACTACAGTCTAACCCTGGAATCCTCCATCAGCGCTCCGCCCTGCTGCCTCCACACCTCCGCTGTTCCTCCCGTTCTGCTCCGCTCCAACCTCCATGGAGCTCAAGGAGAGCATGCGCAACATTATTATTAAACTCAGGAGGAAAACATGCAGAAATCCACTTTAGATTTTAAAATAGAAAAAAAAAAGAAAATTAATATATTTTTTATTTTTAAATTCAATGTATAACATGGATCCATAAACAGCTCATTTTATTTCAGTGTTAAATTGTGTTTAAAATGAGGGATTATAATTAAAAACGTCTCTGGACCGTTACTGGTTGATGATTTTCTTTATTTAGACCCTGCTGGTTTTTAATTGGTTTCTCCTGGTCTAGATGCTGCCTTCAGGTTCCCATTCAGGGTAGTTATTCTATTGGTCCAAAGCTGCAGCTCTCTGAGCTTCTGCTTCATTCCATCCTCTGCTGCCACCTGCTGAAATTCTAACCTCTGATAAGCTGCTATATCAGGAACAACCACCAGGTGTCGCTGCACACTAACAAACAAAAACCTAAATCCTCCATCCATCCATTTTCTGTCAGGATTATCCTGCTGGGGCCCAACGATCCTCAGATCAATAAAAGCATCAAATGCAGCAGAGAGACTGTGGAGGACTGACTGACTGACTGACTGACTGACACGCTCTCTCTCTCTCCCACCCTCACTCTCTCTCTCACCCTCTCTCTCTCTCTCACCCTCTCTCTCTCTCTGCTGGTAGGTTCCCAGATGTCTGAGGAGGCTCTGAGGATGTCATCGTGGCCCTGAAGCCCAGCAGTATGTCAGGTGAGACCCTCCCAGCAGCGCATGGCTTCGTTAACACACCAACCTCTCAGCAGCGGCCCCTGACCCGGTTCTTTAGGGCCCCTGATCGGACCTGATGACTGCTTCAGTTACCTCTTTATCTGATTTGCAAACATGAATTGCCAGCAGGACGGAGGCCCCTGGGAACCAGAGGCTCCTGGGAACCAAGGCGGGCCCCTCTGGTTTACAGCACCAAACCAAACAACTAGCTCTGCTCCCATTTATCTGATCTGATCCACATAAGGTTATTTAAAGCGTTTAAACGCTCTGAAGCTCAGCTTCCATCATCTTTTAAAGTTTCACCTTTTAATCTCTGAAGAGAAGAAATTATGCTTTTTATTTACTAAATCTAAACATGGCTTCCAGTCATAAAAGTTCAAGCTGCTTCGATGAAGGTTTGGATGTTTCTTATCTTCCAGGTTAGAACAGAGCAGCAGATCAGAGGTTCACTACAGCGGAGTACAGGCGGCATGGGCGTAGGTTTGCATAGGGACCATAGGGACATGTCCCTACCAAAGTTTTGAACCGTCCTAATTGTCCCGACCAATAATTGGATGTGAGCAACATGTTTATAATTTACAGCAGTGGCTCTTTTCCTCTTGCAGCTCCTCTGCCTGCTCTCTCCTGTCCCTTTCACCTAGCAGCGCATTGAACTGTGCTGCGCTGTTTAACTCCACTCTCATTGGCTGTTCTGCCTTAGGTCCCGCCTTCTCTCTTTCTGATTGGCTGTTTTCTAGTCCGCTGTGCTTGGAGCACAACATTGAAAATTTATTCACACTAGAATGCAGCGGTTACTACAATTAATATTAGACTATGAAACTAGTCCCAATAAAAAAAATGAATATCATGTACACTAAAAAACAAAAACCTTTTTTTTTCTTTTATAAAACGAAATATTCTGAGTCAGCCAGGAGTTCTGAAGACACAAAATGGGCAAATAAAGGCTGTAAGCCATCAACATTTCTGATTCTTAGCCACAGCCACCTAAAAAAGAAAATGTGACGGTTTCCTTTTTACCAATATTTAGTTGCTGTTACTGGTTTCATTTTTTGATGACTCTGAGGAAGTTCAGGTATAATTATTAGCAGGTGTTATTTCTCTTATAGAGGAAAACAACAAGAAATGGCGGCTAAACATCTGCTGTTTATCGTTTAAAAAGCATAATTAGGGTTCCAAATAATAATAATAATTTAATTGACTATTTATACTTCTAGAAATAGGATAAAGAGAAGAACAAACAGATGAAGAATATTAACATTGATTTTATCTTACATAGATTTCCACACAGTCTATAAGTAAATTAGTACAAACATTAATGTCTGGTAAAAATGCTGGAATCTGACTGTTTATTTTGGATATTATTAAATTACAGATAAGATAGTGTTATATTGTCTTTTATAATTGTTAAAAGTGATTTTATATTTTAATAAACTTAGGCTCATTCTCAGTGTTGTGTTTGTAGATGATGCCACTAAAAAGAAAATATACATAAGGAGCTATTTATACAGTCAGACAGTAGCAATATAGGACAATGATAAAAGGTTGTGTTACATTTAATCCTTTACTATTAAAAATGCACTTATACATTATATGATTATAGGAAACACAGATATCCAGTAATAATGGTGCAGGGCAGCTTGTAGGTGAAGCAGCTGCCATTCAGTGCTTCAGGTGACGTCTAAATAAACCAGGTGAAACTAAAATATTTCCACATGAGGAGTTCTGGATGGAGAATTTTGATTATATATATGTATTGTAGTTTTACAATTTTGGTATAATTACTGATCTAAGTGGGTTGCTCTGTTGGAAAAAGACACATTTTACATTTATATTATGTTTTAGAGTCTTTATACTCCAGTTAATGATGAATCAATTATTAAATTAGTTGACGATTATTGAAATAATCAATTAATGCTTCAAACATTGATAAACAGCATCTAATGAGTGTAGTGTTTTTTTTATTTAATTTTTATTAATGTAGCAAAATTATGCTTTTCTCTTTTAACATTGAATTCCTCTTATCAGTACGGATGCTCACATCGAGCATAAAAAAGGGCGTGCATATTGCATAGCACCAATGACACCCGACCAATCGTGTCCCTACCAAAGTTAAAATCAAACCTACGCCCTTGACAGGCGGCTACAATAAAACAGATTTTTTTTAAACCTTCCTTAAAATTCTAAACAGAATTTTCACTTCCTGCTTTGTCAGCATCCATTTTTCTTTCGTCCATTTTGATTGGAAAAGCTTCGCATTCGCTGCGCTGCCTCAGCTCAGCTCCTGGTTGGTTGTCACGACACGAGAGACAGACGTTCAGATTCTCACAGGTGTGGCCTCGCTCTGTGTCGCCAAAATCACACCTGTGGTAATGCTAGCCACCACGCTTAGCGTCACGTGTGTCTCACCTGTAAATGGGGCGAAAAATTTAATCTGTGGCTCCAGATATGGTGTGAACGCACCTCAACAGCAGCATGCTAACACGGCAGCATGCTAACACGGCAGCATGCTAAGAGTAGTGGCCTACAGCTGTGTCCTACCATGAGGTGTGCTAACAGCAGCATGTTAACACTAGCATGCTACAATAGCAGTGTGCTACCATGGCGATGTGCTAACACTAGCCTGCTATCAAATAATGCTACCACAGCAGCATGCTAAGACAGCAGCATGCTAACATGGTAGGATTCTACCACAGCAGCATGCTAACAAGTTAGGATGCTAACACAGCAGCATCCTAACACAGCAGTATTCTAAGAGTAGTGGCCTACAGCTATGTCCTACCATGAGGTGTGCTAACAAAAGCATGTTAACACTAGCATGCTACAATAGCAGTGTGCTACCATGGCAATGTGCTAGCACTAGCCTGCTATCAAATAATGCTACCACAGCAGCATGCTAACATGGTAGCATGCTCCCACAGCAGCATGCTAACACAGCAGCATGCTAACATGGCAGCATGCTAACACGGAAGCATGCTAACACAGCAGTATTCTAAGAGTAGTGGCCTACAACCATGTCCTACCATGAGGTGTGCTAACAGCAGCATGTTAACACTAGCATGCTACAATAGCAGTGTGCTAACACTAGCCTACTATCAAATAATGCTAACACAGCAGCATGCTAACACAGCAGCATGTTAACACTAGCATGCTACAATAACAGTGTGCTAACACTAGCCTGCTATCAAATAATGCTACCACAGCAGCATGCTAACATGGTAGGATGCTAACACAGCGCCATGTTACAAGGTAGGATGCTACCACAGCAGCATGCTAAAAAGGTAGGATGCTACCACAGCAGCATGCTTACCACAGCAGCATGCTAACAAAGCAGCATGCTAAAAGCAGCGGCTTACAGCAGTGTGCAATCATGGGGTGTGTTAACAGCAGCATGCTAACACTATCCTGTTATCACCTGATGCTACCACAGCAGTGTGCTAACACGGCGTGCTAACTGCTTGTCCGTTTAAATTCAACAGGCAGTGCTGTGTGCTCTGCTAGCTATGTTGGCTAACTAGAGATCATGTATGTGGCTAGCTGGTCGTCACGTGTTGGTTTAGCTGTTGCAGTTAGCTCCTCTGATGTTGTGGAGCTAATCAGACCCAACCTCAGGCGTACGTAGAAGTAAAGCCAGACCCTGATACCTCCACTGAACTGAACTGCCGTCTGATTCTCTAACTGGATCATTTACCGCCTGTTTCTCAGCCACTGATTCTGCTGTAGCTCAGTTCTCCTTTACTAACACGCTTCTCTCCCTCAGTTACAGAGCCTGCAGAGAATTGCTCCCCCTGCTGGAAAGATGAGGCTGGTCAAAACGGTAATGTCCTTTATTTATTCATTCTCTTGGTTAGTGACATTTATTAAAGTTCCTTCTATTGTGTCGGTTTGGCTAAATATCTGCGAGCTGTTCCTGCCTGCAGGACGCCATGCTGGATCAGACGCCATTTATCTTCCTAGCTAAAAACCTTAGTGAGGGTAGTGAACGTGCTTAGAGCAGCGGGTTAGTTCTCTGAGAAGGTTACGGTACCCGCTGTAGGTACCAGATCTGCTCGGGGCCCCGCCCCCTCTTATGACATCATCATACGGCAACTCCACTGGGACAAACTGTATTTACCCGTTTCCTAAGGATCAAACCTCTTCTGGAGTTTTAACATATTATTCTCCATATTTGTGATTATTTTCCATTTCCTCTGCGATTTAAATCAGCTGAAGTAGAAAACAATCATCGTCAGTCTGGAAGGAAAGCGCTGCCTTCTGAGACACACTGAGCTCTGCTGTTTAACAACGAGACACTAAAAGTTTATTATTATTCTGATTAAGATCTGAGGTCAGAGGAGGACTAATCTTAAAAAATGACTTTATAGAGATTTTAGACGAATAAAACTGTTATTCTACTGGTAGAAGACTAATGGTTGTTGTTGACACAAAGTTAAAAGTAGTGTAGCTTAATGTGGCTAACTGAGGGAGCTAAACTCAGGTGTTTCAGCATAAAGTGAAACAAACTTCAGACCAACAGGAAGGAGCAGCTGCAGGCCAGAGGATCATGATCAACGATGGGGGGGGGGGGATGACTGTCTGGGTCTGAAACTAACGGCTAATCCATTCATCAGCTGCTCATTTTTTTAAATGATTGATTAATTATCACAGAGCAAAAAGTTCCTTCAGGAACTTTAAACTGGATGAGGCGTTTTACCAGTTTTAATCTGCATTCCCAGATGTTTCTGTATCTTTCATTGTTTTGGTTTATTTAGCGGCCTCCTCTCTCAGCTAATGACCTGTTTCAGATTCTCTGTCCTCCAGATAACGGTGCATGGATTCATCTACATTATTGGGCAATGATTTCAGTAATGGATTAATGAGGATTCATGGTTTGATCAGTGGTCTGAACAGGGCGATAGCTCTCCCCTAGGGGGCGCTGCAGTGAAAGCTGCTGCAGAGGAAGGAGCATGCAGTGGAGGGACTGGGTAATCTGACCCAATCAGCCCAGACGGCCGGCTCGCTCCCTGGCTTCACAGCAGAGGGAGGCTGAGAGGCTGCAGGAGGCTCTGGTTCTGACCCAGCACACTCTCTGTTTACACCACAAAGCTTGGAGTCAGAAAACCGGGATCAGTCTGACCAGTCTGACCAGTTGAAGCTCAGAGTTCTGCATGTCTGACCCAGTAAGCCGACCCGTTGATGGACGGTGATGAAGGCTCAGAGTGTAAAACACATCCAGCAAACTGCGGATAATCCGCTCCAACTTCAACCTTCGACCCGGGAGCCTCCTGTTGTTCCCCTCAGCTCACCCTGAACTCTACTGGGAAAGGTTCCACTAATGTGGCCTCCTCAGGTAACACGGAGTAGCCGGGGACATCTGGCACAGGCTGGCGTGTTAAGTGAGGGCCCCTGGGTGGAAGAGATGCCAAACATCCAAATATTGTTCATGACCGGCTTTGAACCCCTGAGTCGCCCGGTGATCAATCAGGGAGGGAATATAAAAGCTGAGCCAGTGCAGCTCGGCGCCGCGGAAGGCGAACCGCGGCGCCAAGCTGCAGGCGGACAGGCCGGGCGCTGCGGCCTGCAGCTGTTCGCTCAGACAGGACTACCTGCCTTATTCTGCCCAGACCTGCTTCATCAGCAGAAACACAAACAGGAAGTCATCCGCCTAAAGTAAGTCCAGAAAAAACTCAACCTGAATATTTTTATTCATTCATTTTTCTAAAAATGATGTTAAAAAACTTTTTAAACTCATTAGAGATAAGAAACTCTTTTTTAGATGATGGGGTTATTTCCAGATTAAAGCAGCTCATAATCCTACAATATTATTCTGGGAGTATAGATATAGATAAATCTGAATAAAGTGAAGCAGTGAAGTTCTGCTTCATAGAGGAGGCTCCACGTTCCCCTCGGCTCCCCGTTCCCCTCGGCTCCCCGTTCCCCTCGGCTCCCCGTTCCCCTCGGCCCTCCGTTCCCCTCGGCTCCCCGTTCCCCCTCGGCTCCCCGTTCCCCCTCGGCTCCCCGTTCCCCTCGGCTCCCCGTTCCCCTCGGCTCCCCGTTCCCCCTCGGCCCTCCGTTCCCCTCGGCTCCCCGTTCCCCCTCGGCCCTCCGTTCCCCTCGGCTCCCCGTTCCCCTCGGCTCCCCGTTCCCCTCGGCTCCCCGTTCCCCCTCGGCCCTCCGTTCCCCTCGGCTCCCCGTTCCCCTCGGCTCCCCGTTCCCCCTCGGCTCTCTATCATCTGCTAAATGCTGTGGATTTTCTTCCACGCCTGTTTTTCTCCACATCTCATCATCGGACAAACAGAAACGATTGAAATGTGGAAGAAAAGCGGCGCTCAGACGACAGCTTGCTGTGTCTGATGGATGCTTAACCGTTTGGGGCCGGTGGTCAGGAAACAGGCAGCCAGATTAGTCCCAGTCAGGGACGTCACCTCATCAAAAAGTTAAACTGGTATCAAAACCTCTTTGCAAGCAGATTGGCCTCGCAGGACCTGCTGCCTGCAAGCTGTTGCACGTCAGCTGAAGGTGACACGCTGACACTTCTAGCTTTAGCTGAGCCTTAGATCCCCCCCCCCCCAGCCTGTGTTCAGTCATTACCTAAAGGAGGCAGGCAGTCATTATGTCCTCCTTTCCTCTGAGTCGGCTCATTATAAGCTTTTTTACATGTCAACATGTCCTGTAGGATTAGCATCTATTAGAGTCACTCTAGCTTTGTCTTTGTTTGATTTTTACAGATGTTAGATTCACGTGTCTAACATCAGAGTCATTTTAAAGATTTGTTCTCGTTAAATGAGTTTGTTGAAATTCAATTCAAAGATTCGTTGTTGATCCCAAAGGGAAAATAAGTGTTGCAGGAAGATGTTGGTGCTGCAGACAGGAAGGATCTCCTGTAGAGGTCTGTCTGCAGTGGATCTGGATCAGCCTCTGACTGAAGACCCTCTGATGGTGTCTAACAGTCTGATGAAGAGGATGATAACTGCTGTCCATCATCTTCTTCATCTCCAGAGGTTCTAGAGGAGTTCCTAGAACTGGTTGAGCTTCTTTCAGTCATTAGCTCTGATGATGATGATGATGATGATGATGATGATGATGATGGAGATCAGACTGATAGAAGGTCTGCAGCCTCTGAAGGACCTGAGCTTCCTCTAGAAGCCCTGTGTCCCTCCTTGCTTCCGGTTGCTTCTCCAGTCCAGCCTATATTTAGACTGGTTAATTCCCTGCCTTCCTTCTTAAAGCCTGCTTCTTCTTGTTGTCCTCTTCCTGGTTTATTATTTTAGAAGCATTCCCCTGTAGTGATGGTGTTTATTATTTTAGAAGCATTCCCCTGTAGTGATGGTGTTTATTATTTTAGAAGCATTCCCCTGTAGTGATGGTGTTTATTATTTTAGAAGCATTCCCCTGTAGTGATGGTGTTATCTACAGGAGTTTCTGTGGTCAGTCACTCTCAGTCATTGCATTGTTGTCCTCTCCATGTTGCTGAGCATCCCAGCCTGTAGCCTCAGAATAACCCTGCAGGGCTTCTTCAGCTTCCTGTGATCACCATAAGAAAGGAAAGTTTGTTTAGTAAACCATGATATTTCTATTCCATGAAGTGCAACAGTGATTAAACGTAATGTATTGATTGATTGATTGATTGATTGATTGCATTGATCTGCTCAGTTTGAAGCAGAGTCTGTGACATCATTCAGCGTTATTTCATCAGTTCATCAGTGTGATGGCAGTGGGGAAGAAGCTGCTGCAGAACCTGCTGGTCCTGCATTGAATGCTGGGAAGCCTCTTCCCAGAGGGCAGCATGGTGGGGGGGTGAGGGGTCATTGATGATGTCACGGGCTCGGGACAGTCCTATTGTCCTATCGCCAAGACCTACTTCTATTGACTGACCCATCATGGTTCTATTGACTGACCCATCATGGTTCCACTGACTGACCCATCATGGTTCCACTGACTGACCCATCATGGTTCTATTGACTGACCCATCATGGTTCCACTGACTGACCCATCATGGTT